TTGATGATCATTCTCCCAAGCTCTGGGTGTATCCTTTAAAATCCAAATATCAAACACTCGGCGTGTTTAAGGAATTTCAGGACTTAGCTGAGAGACAGACGGGGAAAAAATTAAAATGCATTCGCACTGACAATGGTGGTGAATATTGTGGTCCCTTTTATAACTATTGCAAAGAACAAGGAATTCATCATCAGAAAACTCCGGCCAAGACGCCTCAATTGATTGGTTTAGAAGAGAGGATGAATAGAACTCTAGTTGAGAGTGTTAGATGTTTGTTTTTAGAGGTTAAACATCCAAATACATTTTGGACGGAAGTACTTAATACTGTTGCTTATGTTATCAATTTGTCTCCTGCTGTTGTTTTGGATGGTGATGTCCCAGACAGAGTGTGCTTTCCCAAAGATGTTTCTTATGATCACCTGAGAGTTTTGGGTGTAAAGCTTGTGTGCATGTTCCTAAAGATGAGAGATGGAACTGGATGTCAAAACTAAGCAGTATTTTATCGGTTATAGTCAAGATGAGTTTGGGTATCGTTTTTATGATCCTGTTGATAATAAACTTATTAGAAGTCATGATGCAATATTCTTTGAAGACCAGACTATTGAAGATATTGACAAAGCTGAGAAGATAGATTCTCAGAGTAATGAGAGCTTAGTTGATATTCATCCAGTTTCTATTGCTAAGGCACCTATTACACATGAAGGAACCCAAGACAAGAATGAAGATAGTGATCAAGATCAAAATGATCATCATAGTGTAGATGTTATGGATGCTCCAGTTGATGAAGTTATGGTTGATCAGCAACCAATTTCTCCTCAGGTAACTACTTCGAATGCTCTTAAAACCTCTCTTAGAAGATCTACAAAGGAGAAGCAAAAATCCATGCGCTATCCTCTATGAGTATGTTCTTTTGACTAATATGGGAGAACCTGAGAGCTATGATGAAGCCATGCAAGATACTCACAAAGATCAGTGGATAGAAGCCATGGAAGATGAGATGAAGTCACTCCATAAGAATGGCACATATTAGTAAGAGAGCTTTATCTAACAAATGGATATTCAGAATAAAGTAAGATAACCATACCTCTGCACCTAGGTACAAGGCGAGGTTAGTTGTTAAAGGTTTTGGCCAGAAGAAAGGAGTTGACTTTGATGAAATTTTCTCCCCTGTTGTGAAAATGTCTTCTATTCGTATGGTTCTAGGCTTAGCCGCGAGTCAAGATTTAGAGGTTGAGAAGATGGGTGTAAAGAATGCTTTTCTTCATGGTGATTTAGACGAGGAGATTTATATGGAGCAGTCTGAAGACTTGGTAGTTAAGCATGCAGATAAGCACACGTTTTGCAGAAAATTGGCAGGCATGAAGCCTCTCGATAGTTCCTCTACTTGAAGACATATTTGGCCCCTTGGCTGGAGGGGGTTGTTTGTTGGGGCTCATGCCCATGTTGTCCATCCAAAGGCCTAATCTTATTCTCTTTTGGTTTCCATTCCTATTCAGAATTGGATTTGGTTTTTATTCCTATGTAGAGTTGGTTTTGGCTTTAAGAGAAAGTACCACTCATTATCTATAAATAGGACAACCTTGGAGAATTATTCTATACTTATTGGTACTAGTCTTTGAAAGACTTTAGCACATAAGAGTGATTTTTGAGAGAGCTTTCATCAAGAAAGAAGAGAGAAGAAAAGTATTTGTTTTGCTGCAGATTTTTGTTATGACTAGTCAAATTACGTTTTACTATTCGTTAACCGTTAGATTGGGATGAAATTTTGTTTGAGTGTTCGTAGCATCTTGATCTTTGATTTGAACGGTGAAGATTGGATTTGGAGTCCGTAGCATCTGATTTCGAGCCCCGAACAACAGCTCCATTTTGTGACTTCTCCTCCTTCTTCAATTGATTTGTTTTTGCTCTTGTTGCTATTGTTGCTCCGTGTTTGGCACTTGTTGTGTAGCCAATTTGGAGAACTTTTGTAACCCTCTTATTGTTATAGTGGAGCTTTTTGGATCTTTGTGATCCCATGACTTTTACCTTCGATTTGAAGGGTTTTCCACGTTAAATTTTGTTATTTTTTATTTCTTTATTTTCGGGTTTACCTCTTTCTCAACATACCATGCAGGTCAAAATTACTTTATTTTGTTGAATGTAATTTTTGAATGGCTCTTGAAAGTTGAGAGCTTTCTAGGGATTCAACTTTCTATTTCTAATTGACAATTTCTAATATTTCTATCTGCATTTCAAAGATAGTACAATCAAGTTTGACCCTGAAGCATTGTGACACTTCATATACTTGTCTATTTTTTCATTTCGAGTACATTATATGGGAAATTCATTATTGATGACTTGTCAAGATAAGTATCATTGCTGTCTTTTTGAACTCTTGTCTCCGAATACCTCCCCTTTGCAATCTGCTTGTGTTCTTAAAACACAGTACTCTGCTCAAATTTCTACCATAAATGGGGGTGGAACCACCATCTTTCTTGAGGATAACCGCTAAAAGGTCAAGACTAATGCCCTGACTTGCACTAGCAGTAGTCGAATTTACCGAGTCGAGTCCCAAATAGTTGCTGGAGATGCTTACAAAATTCTCAAACATGTCAGGAGAAATTAATCATATTGCGAGACACCAGCTGCTATTTTCAATCATGAAGATGCATTTTTTTAATTTATTTTGGCGAGAGATACAAAAAGAATGTATCGAAGTGAAGGGACTTGGTGAATGGTGATGGTGAATGGACTAGCTGGGGACGAGCCCTTCCTTGGACGAATGATTGGGGTCATCTTTACCTTTTAAGCATGTAATTTGAATTACAAATTCCACATTATACACTAAATTAATGTTGACTACATCAAATGTTAATTGAAACAAGAGAACGAAAAATCAAGATTTCTAAGATAGTTAGAGACATAACAATTTTCGTCCATCTATGACGCAAGTCCTTACCAATTTGGGATAAGATATTTCCTTTAGGTAAGCGTGCATCGGGCATTTGGACATAAGAATTGTAAAAATCTTTTAAGAAAATGTGAATTTTTATTTTCAAGTGAAAATGGTATTTGAAAATTAGAGTTGTGTTTGGGCATGAATACAATTTTGGATTGTTTTTAAATTTTTGTGAGTGATCTGAAATGAAAATTTTATGGCCAAATACTGATTTCAAAAAAAAAAAAAAAATTATGGCCAAACGTACCCTAAGTTAACACAATGAAACTTGGAAAAACAATTTTATCGAGGAAAAACTTTTATTGCATGCTATAAAAGCTTTGGAGAATTTGGATAAGTATAGTAGACATTTCTATAACAATATCCCTACATAACAGTTATTTCCTATAAATATTAAGTTTTTTTGGAATCGATTTTTATATTATGATATAATATATCTCTTCTATAACAAGACTTCACTATAATTTATACTATATTAAAAGCACAAAGACCTTAGTGAAATGTCGTTCGCCTTTTTTACCCTTCAAAAATTAATTTCACACTAGACAAAATAGTCATTTAATTAATTTTTCTAATATTTAGGCCTATAAATTAAATCATTTCCGTATTGAAATTAGGTAAAAACTCCTAATATTTAGGAATTTAAATCGAGTAAATTCTATTCATATAAATCCTTTGCCTAAATTAACTAAAAATACCCTTCTGGTTGTTATACTTTTAAAAGTCCTAATCTAAATAGGAATAGATTATAGCCACACATGAACGATCATTAGCTAAAAGATCATCTTTCTTATTTCTTTTGTTTGATAATTAGGGATTGCCATTTTGCTTTGTTTTTAGAAGATTTTTTTATTTTTATTTTAGAAGAAATCTATTTGTGGACTAATATTTAGGACTTTAAAATCAATTAAAAATTTGCTTTAAAAGTTATTTTTTATTTGAATTAAGTAGGAAGTCGTAATATATCGAACTTTAAAATTAATTAAACTTAACATTATATAAGTTTTTTCCTTGTTTGAATTATTTAATATTACTATAGTACATTCCATATTATTGTTGCCAAGGATTCATCTCCGCGGTAAATTTAAGTTCTTTCCAAGTTTTTATTGCAAAATTGTAAGAAGATTTCTAGATTCAGTGTTTTGTCTATTCTTTTATGTACGTCAAGAATCATTAAAAATGTTTATATATTCAAGTTTTTTTTATGATTTAGAATGAGTTTGCTCATTTTTTAACGACTAGATTATATAACAATATTTTACATGTAGTGAAAAATAAAAAATAAAAAATTAAAAATATATTTAACCGTTACTATTTATTAAAGTAAGATAAACAAATTGTATCTAAAAATACTTTAATTACCTAATGAATTTCAAAATTGCAAAGATGAGAAAGAGAGATATTTATATAAGTTTTAGAATGACTAACATGACACATGGAAAGCACTAATATATATCTATTCTATATCAAATAAAATTATAACAAGAATAAATTTCAATTGAATATATTGACCGAAGATTGAGAACTTCTATTGGAGTAGTTTATTTTTTTATTGAGTGATAAATATAGGATCAATATTCATCATTTTTAGAAATATATACTTTATTTTATAACTCAAACACAATATTTAATATAATATCTATATTTTTTTTTAAAAGTCTTTTACTCATTGAGATAGTGTACACGCACAATGCGTAACACTAGTAGCCAAAAAATATCGGAACAAACGAATCTGTTATATAAAGGTTTGATTGTATGAGTATTATCACTTTTGGTCAATGACAGAAATTATATATATATTCGGTAACCGAAAATATATATAAATTTATATAATTTTTATATATAACATACAAAAACTATATAATTTTTCAGCTATTATTTTTGGAGTGATTAAACAGTGTCATTTTCCTATTTTCCTTTTAAGTTGGTACGTTATAAAGATCCGCATAACAACTAGACAAGTGCAAGGGGTAATTTAGGCATTTCAGCTAACGTCACTCGGCTTTGACCACCAATCGCTATCCTCTCTCTCCGTGTCAAAACCGAATTCTCTCGACGATATTTCTTCATTTGTATCGATCCGAAGCTCATTTCATTCATCTCCGTTTCACCCAATTCAGATCCAAAAGAGAAACCCTAATCTGCTTATTCTTTCAGATCAGATCCAATTCGAATGGACGCCCTCGATTCTGTGTTCGATCCTCTTAGAGATTTCGCCAAAGACAGCGTTAGGCTCGTCAAAAGATGTCACAAGCCTGATCGTAAAGGTATTGGATATATATATGTTTAGTTTAGAATTGAAGCACAGCTGATTGATTGATATTAATGGATGTAGATCTAGGGATTTTACTTGTCTCAGAATCTTATTGACTAATTTTGAATGTTTGTGGTGTAGAATTTACCAAGGTTGCTACTCGTACGGCGATTGGTTTTGTTGTGATGGGATTTGTTGGATTTTTCGTGAAGTTGGTTTTCATTCCTATCAATAACATCATCGTTGGTGCTTCTTAATTGGTAAATATTTTGCTTTCCCTCTTCTTATTCCGACTCTGAAAAATTATTGATTTGGAAATTGTTTACATATGATTGGTCGTTAGATATCTTAATTTTGTGGGATCTCGAGACTTGCTTGGTTAATTGCTGGGTTTCTGTTGTATTATAGCCTGGAGAACATTACGTAGTGATATCATGCAGAAGGATCTTATTTGTTGTTTTGTTACTTGTAAATGAGGGAGAAGATACATGTTTTCTGCCAACCAAACACTGAAATTACTATGTGGAGTTCTTGTCAAATGGCCACCTTAACCTTGAAATTTGGTAATATCATCAATTGATACATTATTCTTAATTTTCACTAGTTAGGACAGACACCATTTAGCTTATTTCAAAGGAATAAGAAATTTGATGATCTTGAAGTTGATTGTTGATTGATAAATATATCTTTTAGCTATAAAAAAAACATAAGATATAATAAGGCTTCATTTGTTTGCACTTAATGGAGGTCTGAATCTTCATATCTAAGACATTAAGTACTTTTGTTTTTAAAGTCTAAATCTTGATCATTCAGATCTTAATCATAAGTGTGTTTGTTTTTTTATTCACAACCAATTAATGGGTTTGAATAGGTCTGTATGATTAAGATCTATAACAAAGTCTTAATTTCATTAAGATGCTATCATCCACATTCATTATTAATTGTCACCACCGCCTACCATTATCAACTATCACCATGCCACCCACCACCACCATGCTTAACTACCACCACCACCACCCCCATCCTCGATCACAGTCATCACCATTATCGACGACCACCACCCACCATCCCCACCACCATTATTCTCAACCACAACCACAACCACAAACTCATCCACCTCAACTACCACAACTAATCACCTCATCACCATCAACAACCATAGCCGGCGCTGCGCCCTTATAAACTACCACCACCTTTCTCAATCACAATCACAACCACCACTACCCACCATTATTAATTATTACCACCCACCACCACCATCCTCAACCATAAAGCCATCACTACCAATCACCACAAGCTACTATTCAGAACCACCACCATCAACCAAAATCGCCACCAACCACTGCCTCTAGTCGCATTCAAAAGCACCACCATTAGCCATCATCATCACTAACTACCATATTTTAAAAAATATATATTTTATTGATAGAATATTAGATTAATTAGTATTTATTTGAATTTTATATTTATTAATTTTCAAATAAAAATAAATTTTATACATTCAAATGTTAAAAAACAAATTGTGTTAATCATTTAGTATTCAAATCTTAATACACATCTTAATTTCATATGCGTATTGAGATTCAGATGTCTTAATCTTAAAAAATAAATGAGGCTTACGCATTGGATTCAGGTTAGTAATAACACTACCATCGATGTGAGTAAACATTCCTTTTCATAAAAATTGAATATGTTAACGATTACCATGGTGTCTTTCTTTCAAAAATGATTAGCATGGTGTCTTTGCAGTTTCTCCAACTATCATGTTTTTTCAAGTTTATCACATCTTAATGTATAAAGCTGATCCCACTAATTCTGGAATCTAGATCAAGACTTGGTTCATTGATTAAATGTGAAAGTTTTGGTGAATCATTTACAACCTTGCCATCTGTTATTTGATATCGATCCTTCAACTTTTGTTGACTGAGTGGTTTATGAAATTTGTTGGGTTTCTGATACTTTGCCGTTTTTCTAAATTGCCTTTTCAATTCCCTTGCTAGTGAAATATCTGGAACTAATTGAAATTTGTTGGTATGATCCTGCAATGAGACACTGACTCTATATGTGAAATTGCAGGCCTTGCGAAGGACATAGCCAATTGGAGATGTAGAGCCAGAGATAGAAGTGGTGCAAAAATTTAGTTTCACATTGTGATCCGTAGCATTTGGATACCCTGTAGTTCTGAACCTCCTAGTTAATCCGTTTTTATGTCATTCTAATTGCCTCCCTCACCTCCCAGTCCCCTTTTCCGGCCTGCTATCAGATTTTGTAAACTTTCCTGTTGAATTTGAGACATACAATGTTTTCATCGTAATTTTGCCCAATCTTTAAGCCATGATGGATACAGCTTTGGAACGTAGCTTAATTGTGACAACGGAAATATATCCCTCTACTTTCATATATTGTATGTATTTAACCTTCGTTATATTATCGGGTCAAATTTACCCCTACAATCAGCATACTTTTAAAAATACCTTTTGATCTGTTAAGTAATCCAAAATTTTCCAAATTCCTTTTGTTTAAATCACTTGTTGTTCTTCTTGGTCAACTATTTTAATTTCAAAAACTACTATTGATGTGAATGTTAAAGTTACATTCTATACAAATTATTCATATATATTTTTTTATTACTAATGCACCCTTTTTTTTTTTTGTAATAAATAAAATTGGTTTAAAATTTTATTTATTTTTCAATCATACACACCGTAGAATTTAGTGAGTCTATTTATTATGTATTATATGCAGTTGATCACCATGTATGTACATGTATATTCAAATATATTTTGTCATTGCTTGATTAGTATAGAGTTCGATCGACTAACTTAAGAATGCAAAATGTGTAGGCACCTAATTAAAGCAAAGTTGAATTAGACAATGTAAAGTCTCGGAGAAACTTCAAATTCAATTACTAATACTTGCAAAGTTTTCATACATTTGGTGCAATAAATTCATTAAAATTGGGATGTTGTAAATACTTTTAAAATTTAGAAAAGCTACCTAATTTAGATTTTTCAATTCACTATACTTTGCTTATTCGGTTATATTATTTAATATTTTTTCTCTCATTTTTTTTTCTCTAATTTAGAAAGCAGGTAAATGCCAATTATTTCAAAAATAGTGGACCAAGAAGAACAACAAGTGATTTAAATAAAAGAAATTTGAGAGATTTTGGATTACTTAACATATCAAGGGGTATTTTTTAAAAGTTTGTTGATTGTAGGGGTAAATTTGGCCCGATAGTATAACGGTATAGGTAAATTTGGCCCGATAATATAACGGAAGTTAAATGTAGGGGTGTTCGTCGGTTGGTACGGTATTTAGACATTTCAGTTCGGTATTCGGTTTCTTAAAATGCTATACCAATACCGTACCTAATTAAATTCGGTATTTTTCGGTTTTGGTTTATTCGGTTCGGTAACTTCGATTTATTCGGTTTGAATACTAACTAGTGCATAGAGTCATAAACTATAATATTCTTAATTAAAGTACTCAAAAGTACAAAACTAACAACGTTTGTTGACAAAAATTTTGTCCAAAATCAGCAAATATCAACCTAGAGAGAGAAAACTGTACATAAAGGAATACATTTGATCATTAGAAATGTCTTGTTACTTGATAAGAGTTAATTGATAAACTTAGAGAATAAAGGAAAGTAAAACTTTAGATTTTTAATATTTATGTTATAATTAATAATATGTGTATTGTGTAATATAATATATATTTCGGTACGGTATCGGTATTTCGGTATTTTATTTTAAAATACCATACCAAAATGCCATTTTTTTTTAAAACTTAAACCAAATACCATACCGAATACCACACTATCGAATACCAAATACCAAAATTTTTTATTTCGGTACGATAATTCGGCATTTACCAAATTATACATAGCCCTAATTAAATGTAGACAATATATGAAAATAGAGGAGTATATTTGACCATTTTCCCTTGTGACAAACATGATGGAAATGATGGGAACGGGAAAAAATGAGTTTCTTGATCCTTTATGGTTACAGGAAAGAGATCCTCCTGACTTCTATATCCTGCTGCTGTGGAGTGGCCTAACTAAGAAACAATTATGTAGTTTGCCAAATGCTTTAATTAAATGCTTTAGACGCAGATCAACATATAAAAGTGTTGATCCAACCATGTCGTGAAAGATGTTTAATCCATGTTGATCCAAAGTACCGCTCTCAGAAAGATGATGAAGTAAAAAAGACAAAAAGGACAAATACCCTGTCAAATCAGGGTTGCAAGGGGCAAGACATTGATGAGAATGAGAACTCTTAACTTTAGGAAGTGGTGTTCAAATGCTATGTGGGCCGGGAGATTCACGAAAAATCAATGGTAGGATTTTTGGGAAATTGACACAAAAGGGACTTTTTAGAGTTGATGTAAGTCGAACGTCCCTAACATTAGCGATATTTCTTTGAAAAATGATCCCGGCCTCGCACATAGCTCTTTAAGGGTTTCTTTATCAGATTAAATTGTTCATCGAAGCTACCTGATTGTCATACTTTTGCTCTTCAGAATTTCTCTATCAGATTGGTAGAGTTGATGCTACTTTTACTCTACCTATCATTAAGTTATTCATGTAGTATACTCAATTGTCATACTTATGCTCTTCAGGAATTTTTCTACCAGGTTGGCAGAATTGATGTTATATCTTCTTTACCTATCTGTTAAGTTGTTTATCGAAATCTACCCGATTGACATACTTTTTCTAGGTTATTTTAATAAAGTGTTCTTTGAATTTGCAATTTCAATTTCGATCAAATCAAGCGATATTTCTTTGAAAAATGATTTCGGCCTCGCACATAGCTCTTTTAAGGGTTTCTCTATCGATTAAATTGTTCATCGAAGCTACCTGATTGTCATACTTTTGCTCTTCAGAATTTCTTTACTAGATTTGTAGAGTTGATGCTACTTTTACTCTACCTATCATTAAGTTATTCATCGCAGTATACTCGATTGTCGTACGTATGCTCTTCAGGAATTTTTCTACCGGGTTGGCAGAATTGATGCTATATCTTCTCTACCTATCTGTTAAGTTGTTCATCGAAATCTACCCGATTGACATACTTTTTCTAGGTTATTTTAACAAAGTGTTATTTGAATTTGCAATTTCAATTTCGATCAAATCAAGCAATATTTCTTTGAAAAATGATCCCGGCCTCGCACATAGCTCTTTAAGGGTTTCTCTATCAGATTAAATTGTTCATCGAAGCTACCTGATTGTCATACTTTTGCTCTTCAGAATTTCTCTACCAGATTGGTAGAGTTGATGCTACTTTTACTCTACCTATCATTAAGTTATTCATCGTAGTATACTCGATTGTCATACTTATGCTCTTCAGGATTTTTTCTACCGGGTTGGCAGAGTTGATGCTATATCTTCTCTACCTATCTGTTAAGTTGTTTATCGAAATTTACCCGATTGACATACTTTTTCTAGGTTATTTTAACAAAATGTTCTTTGAATTTGCAATTTCAATTTCGATCAAATCACTCCAAATTTGCTCCAAATGATCTCAAATTTAAATAAAGCTTCCAAATACCAATATATACAATCCCTAACCACCGATTTAACTAAATAACACCAAATCAAAAAGACCACTTTGTCTTCTTCAATATTTTCTAAGGTCCAAAAATGGAGTTATAAGAATTTTATAGTAAATCATCAAAATCTGTGTTTGAACTATAAATTATCAACTTTCACACGATTTTAACAACAATCGATCATTAACTTCTATATTTCACCACCAAACAAGAATTTTAAGCTTTAAAAATTGAAAACAAATATGAAGTTCAAGTATAAAAGGGGTATTTTGCTAATACCGTAAAGAAACGGAGACATCCCTTTGGGGGATAGGCCGGGCAAATTTTTGACTTATAGCCTGTTTGGCCAAGCTTTTCCAAGCTGAAAAGCACTTTCTTTTTTTCTTTTTTCAAAAAAAGTGCTTTTCTTTCAAAGTTGAAGTGTTTGGCTGAGCTTTTTAGAAGACAAAAAGTGCTTTTGAGGAGAAGCAGAAGCAGAAAAAAGTAATTTCTTCCCAGAAGCACTTTTTTGAGAAGCACTTTTGAGAAAAATATACTTATAAGTAATTTTTAAAAGTTTGGCCAAACACTAATTAATGCTTGAAGTGTTTTTCGAATTAATTAGCCAAATACAAACTGTTTTTCATCAAAAGTACTTTTGAAAAAAATACTTTTAAAAAAAACACTTCTCATAATTAGCTGATTTTTCCAACTTGGCCAAACAGGCTATTAGTAAAAGAACCAAATTCCATTTTGGGTGTGGCCGTGTTGGGTTAAAGGACAAATTGCAGCATCTGAAATTGGATGGTTTACCCAAAAAGAAAAAGTAAAGGAAAGAAAGAAAAGCCTGTTTAGACCTCAATTTTTTATGCAGATAGTTTCGCTGAAGCGACTTCTGTTGGGAACATCAATCAAATATTCAAGTTGTCAAATGAAAGTGTTGAAGGTTTTATGAAGGAGCATTATGACCCTTTATTTATTGGAACGTATTGTAATTAAACATACGCTTTTTTGTCTCATCCTTGTAGTAGCAATATGAAAGTAAATCAAGCTAATGAATTGGACCGTATGTGCACAACCTCTAATATACTTGTAACTTGGATCGTCTTCTTTATTCCGTGCTTTTTTAAAGATTAACACTCAAGTTCTTCTGGTGCCCGCTACTTCTGGTTACACAATCTGATGCATATAGTACACTAATCTTATAGTACACTACGTGTGCACATAATACGGTACAAGCGAAGGCAACTTTAGTTACATCAGCGACCAGAGGTAGTGAAAGGTATATTTTAGTGCCCATCATCGCGGCTATAAGTCATAAACCAACTGATGAGGGGAAGAAAAAAAAAGACGACTTGACATCTGCGTAGGCATATTACCAGCTTTGGTCATCTTCCTAAAGATTGCACGATAACAGGAGCACTATGCAAAGAACTAAAGGTTCAGAAAGAAATTAAGTAATTAGGAACCAACAGAGCTGCATGTGAATATATCTATATGGCACTAACCACAAAAGGATTTTGATGAGTCAAATCCAGGAAACACAAAAAGAGTGAAGTTTTCTACTGACAAAAGGATTCAAGTCGTTACATTACCCATGACGGTAGCAAAAAGGTGGATTCACATTTGAGAGAAGAAATTACATGTCCCATCCGTAACCATTAGTTGCACTTGTGCTGTTAAGCCTCCAAACCAGCAGCTGACGAGATCTTTTAACTGCAGCAAGGGAGATGGGAGAAATTTAGCACTAAGATTTAATGGTTGGACAATATGGATGGGAGGGTCTTTAGATCCTGAAGTAGATCATACTAAGAAACCCAT